ATGGCAGCTATGGCTGCCTCTACCCTATCGCTATGCTACGCTCCTCTCTTGCCCACTTCAGCTCCGGGCTCTCTGCAGACCTCCTTGCACAAGTCGCTGTGGCAGCGCTTCCGCATGGCTCACGCAGGAATGAATGAATGGCTCGACGCTGCCTCTTGATTTATACTTCTGAAGTTCGGTGGTCTGCCCTTTTCCATCGGCCCTTGGTGCTCACAGTCCCTCTTGGTACTTGCTGGACCGGACTGGGACTGACTGGACCTTACCGCTGACTGACTGTGGACTCACTGCTATCCTACCGAAGTCTTACTGCAATTGCACTGCAGTTTAGTCCACCACTTGGCTCACCACTTGCCCACTAGCCCACTTGCTGAGCTTCTAGAAGGACTACAGCTAGACATCTGGAACTCGCTAAGACTTCTACTCTACAGATCTACAGATCGAACCCCTGCTACCCTTGGACCTAGAACAGTCTACCAACTGTTTACGAATACACAGGTCACAGGTTCAACTCTCGGGGTCTACACGGGTACTGTACATGGGTAGGGTGAGGTCTAGGGATCGAACCCTGAGTACTGCATCTGTTACTGCAAAAAGGTGAAAACCGTTTCAGTCCCGCCGTCCTAAATTTGAGGTCCTCCGAGAATATCTTAGTCCAAGGCAGGACTTTTACCTTTCCTGTCATGCTCATAGACTCTGACAATATCGGGAGCTGTTTTTAGAAGTTCTGTTCTGGTGAACCAGCGGTCGTCTTCCGGTTCCGGATAGGCAAACCGGACCTTATATTGCTTCTGGGGACGACCTCTACCTCCTGTTCTAAACACATCTTCACCTACAATGCCTTCAATGGCATAGCTTCCATCCATATCCGGAGGGATCATGGATCTTCTTAAAGGGAACTGTTGGCTTGTGACACACGGCAACAGCTTCGAAGTGTGGAATACAGGGTAGGTGTGGAGGTGCACTGGAATCTCTATTGTGTAGGATGGTCCATCCTCTCCGCCCTTGACTTCTAGAACTGGCCACGGTCCTCTATATGCAGGCAGTAACTTCTGCGAGATGTTTTCCTCAGGTGCAAACTCTTTAGCCTTGACCCAGACTAAGTCGCCTACCTGAAACTGTGACGGGCGACGGTGCTTATTAGCCTGTTCCATCATTCTGTGCGGGGCCTTCCTGAGGTTCTCAACAACAGTTGCTAATTCTTTCTCGTGCTGTATCGCGAACTCCCTGGTACCGGGCGGTAGCCTGTGAATCTGATCCCGGGTCAGTCCTTCGAATGGTCTGCGCGGTCTAAAGGACTTGTGCAGCTCATTGGGAGTGCGATAGGTGGACATGCATGCTGTTGTTGTATGCGCTAGCTACCTTGGGTAACCTCTCGTCCCAGTTGATCTGATCTGGTCTAATGTACATGCGCAAAACCTGCTGTAGGATCTTGTTCATCTGTTCTGTCTGACCGTTAGTTTCCGGATGGCGGCCAGACGACATCAACAGTTTAGATCCGTAGACTCTCATGAGTTCTTGCCAGTTCTGGCTGGTAAAACGACTATCTCTATCACCAACTATCGACAATGGCTCTCACTAACCCAGAAATCAAAGAACTTCTGTATAACTAGGTGTGTACGTGCCTCTGCAGGCAAGGGATCGGTCAACTATGACCATGACTTGGCTCTTACCGTGTCTACTCTTGACTTGGGTGTCCATGAAGTCTATGGACACTGAGTCTCCCAGCTGATCAGGAATAGGCAAGGGTCTGAGAAGGCCTAGAGGTGCGCGCGTAGTAGTCTTATTACGTTGGCATACTTCACAACTGCGGACGTACTCTATACAATCGTTCTTCATTCCTGGCCAGGTATACGCACGCATCAGATTAGCTAGAGTCTTCTGCCAACCGAAATGTCCCTCTGTATCATGGCATTCCCCTAGGATCAAACTACGGATCTCTTCGCTGTTGGGAACGCATAAACGGTCGAACACATTAGTCTTCTTAAACAGCAACCCGTCTGTAGTGCGGTAATCTGATTCAGTCTCTGGGGCCTCCTTGACTCTCTTGAGGAGGTCGCTATAGAGAGGGTGCTGCGCATACGCTTGTTTCACTTTCTCCTACAGGTCTCTCCCTATATCCAGATAGTGTACTATGGCTCCAAAGTAGTCTGATCTTGTACTCAGAGCATCCGCAACTACGTTGTACTTGCCCTTCACTGGCTTAAGCTCAAAGTCATATTGGTCTATCTCAGCGGCCCACCTAGTTAGCTTTGGTGTCATCTTGGCGTGGGTCTTTAACCATCTAAGAGTTTCGTGGTCTGAGTATACTTTGAAGTGCCTCCCAAGCAGGTAATGCTTCCAATGGTCTAAGGCCTGCCTGAGAGCGTAAAGTTCTCTCTCGTACGTCGAGGTAGGAACTTTCTCCGAGGGCATCCTCGCTGACACGAACTCTACGGGTCTATAGCCATTGTCGTCGTCTTGCAGCAACACGACGCCTATTCCATACTGACTCGCGTCCGTGGTGACGACAAATGGCAAAGACGGATCGACTACTTTGAGGACAGGGTACTTTATCAATGCGCGCTTTAGCTTCTTTAGCGCAGATGTGCGGTCTTTGTCCCATTGCCAAATTGCCTCTTTCTTAAGCAGCCTGCGCAGGGGAGCGGCGATAGTAGAGAAGTTCCTCACGAACCTTCTATAGTAGTTAGCTAGGCCCAAGAACGACTGCAACTCTGTCAATGTGTGGGGCATCGGCCAATCTCTAATTGCCGCTATCTTGCTGTCCTCTGTCTTAATGCCATCTCCATCTAATACGTGGCCCAAGTACAGGACTTGCGTCTTGGACTTGAAGTTAGCCTCTCCGAGCTTCTCCAAGACCTGCCTGAGATGACCCTGATGCTCTTGGAGGGTCTTGCTGAAGACTAATATATCATCTAGATAGACTACTACAAACTTATCTAACCATGGTCTAAACAAGTCATTCATACAACGCTGAAAAGTAGCTGGTGCGTTGGTCAGTCCAAAGAGCATCACTATGAACTCATAGTGCCCATATCTGGTCCGGAACGCAGTCTTGTACTGGTCATCAGGATGGACTTCTATCTGATGGTATCCGGACTTCAAATCCATCTTAGAGAAGTACTTACAACCCTGCACCCGATCTAAAAGATCGTCTATCATGGGCAACGGCTCAACATTCTTTGCGGTAATCACATTCAAACCCCTATAGTCTATGCACATACGAAGCTATCCTTCCTTCTTGGGGACAAACTGGTGCTCCAAAAGGAGACGAACTGGGCCTGATCCAACCTTTCTCGAGGAGCTCGTCTAACTGCTTGCGTAGCTCCTCTAACTCTCTACGGGACATCGTGTAGACTGCTCCCTTAGGAGTTCTACTGCCAGACTCTATCTCTATCCTGTGCTGGATGGGTCGTGGCACTACTCCTGTCAGCGACTCAGTCAAGTCTTCGAACTCCTCCAGCAGCTTGGCAATGGTTGGATCTGTGGAAGTCACCTCTTCCTTAGCCTCAGTGACAGATCTAACATAAACTACAAAGACCTCTTCCTCTAATCGCTCCTTCTTCACTAACCGCGCGAACGCGGGAGCACTGAGACAGCAATGTGCCAAGGTGTTGTCTACACCTGACACATGAAACAGGCGGGCAGTCTTAACCTCGCCTGACGGGCTAGGGAGCCTACACTCATGCTCTCTCAAATGGAGTGTGGCCTCTGCTGCCTCTCCCCAATCCATTCCTAATACTATGTCGAAAGGAAGGTCATCGTGTACGAGGAGAGTCAGGGAATGGAGAACGTTCTCCACCTTCCCATCCTTCTCTAGGCGAAAGTACGCCTGGACTCCCTCTACATAGTCCTCAACGCGCATCGTGCGGTTGTCTGCGAGGACACTGACTATGGGGTCTGCTAACTTCTGGACCCTTAGTCCTAGCCTCAGCTTCTTCAGCGCCCTATGGCTAATATAACTGCGGGTGGCCCCTGAGTCTATAAGGGCCCTACTCTACTTCTAAACACCTCTACGTCTACCAAGATCAACTGTCCCTTACTCTCCTTCGTCATTTTGGCCCAGGTTGGCATCCTCTCCTTCAATTCTTCTGCCACGCCTGTGAGGGACGTGCCTAGAGAGACGCTAACACAAGCAGTCTCTGGACAGCTAGCTAGGCACGGGCCTGCAACCTCTGCCATRGGCTCATGTGGTTTGGGAGTTTCCTGTKYGCRCGCRCTCRCTTCCCCACATGGCCYTGMAGTAGGGGCAGTTGCGACCCCTACTGGCGGCTGCCTTTTGACTGTTGGGCAGCCCAACGGGCCTATCTATACTTTGGACAAAATTTAATTACGTGGGCCGGGTCACCACAAAATATGCACTGACCCTGGTCTACGCGTTCCTGCCATAAACGCTGGTCCAAGCCAAAGTCCTCCCAGGGCCTGCCCTGTGGCAAGCCTGGATGCCATCCTCCTTGAGGTGGCCTTCTACCTCCTCGCTGTGGGGACCGACAAGAACCCTGGCGATTTGGCGGGGGACCTTGACCCCTACCTCCCACTTGGCGGTTCCCTTGTCCGCCAACCCCTGTGCGCCCGGTCCTCGGCCTCCCATGGCCTGGCCCCTTTGGCCCTGGCCTCCTCCTCTATTTTGCGGCCTCCTTCCAACTGCGACAGCAGCATAGGACCTCCCCTGTCCCACACTATTGTCCTCTTCCTCAAGGCCCCACTCGATCTCACTGTATGGGACCTCGTTTGTACCACCTTCCTCTAAAGTAAGGATCATGTGATCCTTGGCCCTCACCTGGCTTGAGATGGTACGGCCTTTCCACCTTTTTCCCTTATCCAAGTCCTTATGCCAGAAAGTGGTAACTGGCATGGACTTTGACTCATACAGGACCACTTCCCTACTTAATGCATCATGATGCCGGCCTGTTGAGATTTGTCAAAGAAATGCCCACGCAGGGCCTCTGGCATGGCACGATAAAATAACTGGACCAATTGGGTCTCAGTGACTCCATGGTCTGGGACGGCTACCCAGTCGTCCATGGTGCCCTTGAGTGCTCTCGCACTCCTCCACTGTCGTGAGTGGATCGTTTGTAGTTTATCAGAGGCCCTGACGCCTCTCGTTGGATCAGTGAACCACTCCCTCACGAGCTTAAAGAACTGAGAAAGGGGGGTGACTTTTGAGTATGCAACCAGGTTGTTTTCACAACTGGCTGCGCGCGCACGGGACCTAGCAAAGCTAGCCGCCTCATCCTTAAGGGCCTGAAAGGCCACGAGGACTTGTTCCTCTATCAGGATGTGTTGTAAATACACGTAACTATTGGCACTGGCCTCCCAGTTGTCAAAGTTCTCCTCCTTCTTCCCTCCATATGCATCTGGGAATTTAAGCTTGACTGGGTCCTTGCGAGGCCTGGCCTCGCCCTCTACAGCGGCTATCGCTCTGGTGCCCTCGATAGCGCCCTCACAAAACTTCCCCACGTTGTCTCTCAACCTCCTTACTTCTCCCCCAACGTGGGTAACCATATCGCGCGCAAAGTCCCTAAACCCCGACCGCATGGCACTCAGGGCCACTTCCTGGCTCCAACTGGCTTGGCGCTCCTCCATCCAAGCCGCGCTCAACACCTCCAAGTACCCCAACACCTTATCCCATTTGGCCTTGTCATCTGCTTGAGCCTCCACTTCTTGCCTACAATCTTTTACCTTTGCCACCTCTGCGGTCAGTCTGTTGACTTCCTCCCTCCTTCTCTTCTTCTCCCTTTTCATTCTCAACTTCCATTCTAACTTCTTCTCTTCTTCTCTTTCTCGCCGTTCCATAGGGTCCTCCATTGTCGTCAGCTCCCTGGCTAAAGCCTCTCTCTCATCCTGAGGTATATAAGACTCTGCCTCCTCGTCTTCCCCCAATGATAAATTAGCGACCCACTCACTTATCCTCTTCTCCATCTCTGCGTTTGTATCCTTCTTTGTGCCACTACTCCCTTCTCCTCCTTCAATACGTTTTCTTTCTTTTTCTTCTTCTTCCGCTGCTTCTTCTTCAGCAGCCATTCTCCTCTCTTCCTCTTCCTGTTGAACCCTCTTCATCTCCTCCTCCAACCTCTTCATCTTTGCCTCCTGCTCCTCCGTGATTGCCTTTAGCTTCGCTTGCTTCTGGAGCTCCTTCCTCTCTTTATTTTCTCTCACTAGGGCGGCCATCTTTTCTTGCTGCTCAGGGGTGTAGGGGCTAATGTCTTTCCCACTACGGGTCTCAACCATGGTGATAAGTGTACAACCGGGTAGTGGTTCCAAACCTCACCATTTAGACTCTAACCCCTGACTGACAAACCTATTGACTCAATCTAAGACTCACAGAATCCTGACAGGGATCCTGCCAACTTGGGTCTCTAGCCTGGACCTAACTACGGCTTTCACTACTAGACCTTTGCTGATCAGGAGGCATTTAAGGAGATCCCCCGAACTCCTCATGAATTATTTAACGTCGCAGACAGGACGACACGCTCAGCAGGTCTCTCAAGACTTAGACGGTCTGTTGTGCAGCCCACAACTCGGATTTTGGGCCTACCGTGCCACACCGCGCAGCCCGCCGGTCAGTACCGGTCCTTGGGAGGGTTAGGCCTCCGGGACAGTCGAGTCGTCAGACACAGCTTGTAACCCTACTCATCCCGTGTGGGTTTGGTCAACAAAACCCTATCCTTCATCCACAGAGTACTATTACCTCGGACAAAAGAGACTCGATGCAGAAAGAATAGGTAGACAGACTGGACTCAGCAAGGACGAAGGGGTCTGTGCACATCCATAGGGCGAGGGACAGGCTGAAGGCTTGGCGAGATGTTACCGGCTCCAGCTTGGTCAAAGTCTTGGTCAACGTCGATCAACGCCGGTCAACGCTGCGGCCAACTCCCGGTCAACCCCCAGTCAACTCCGGTCAACGCCGGTCAACGCCGATCAACACCTCCGGTCAACTCCCTCGGTCAACCCTTCGGTCAGCTATGGCTGCCGGCTCCTCTTTCTCGCCACCCTCTTCTTCCTTTCGCCTTCCTCGCCTCCTTTCACCCCGGCTGTCTTCTTCTTCTTGTTCTTCTTCTTTTTTTTTTTTGATCGGCCTTCTCTTCACCTCTCGGCTATGGCCTCTTTCTCTCCCTTCTCAGTCTCTTCCCCTCTGTCCGGTCTTGCTCCCTCCTTCGGAACTCCGTGGTGACACTGCGCGGCTATGGCCGCTTCTTCCTCCTCCACGTGGGACTGCACAGCTCGCCTCACAGGTATGTGACAACCAAACTTGTATCGCTCATCTCTCTCTCTCTCTCTCTCTCTTTCTCTCTCTCTCTCTCTCTCTCTCTCTCTCTCTCTCTCATATGGTCTT